TAAATAGAGATATTTAAAGTAGAGGAAGAGAGAGAGAAAGACCTTTGCTTTGCTTGACAATGCAGCTTCCACTTCATGGTGATGAGGCCTTCCTCCACTGAAATGTAAATGGGGATGTCCCACTTATTGACCTTTACTAGGGTTTTGATAACGTCTCCATCCACAATTCACAAAGTTACTACACTTTCCTGAGCTGCAAGGCAAGCAAATGGTCCAATTCACTCACCAAGAGTGTCAATACCAACAAAAATGTCTGTTTCAAAAAACATAAATAAAAATGTGATAAAGTTATGCTTTAGAAACTAATGATCTTCATTCACATAAATCATTTCGATTAGTTACATGTCTACTGCCATGCACAGACATTTGACTATCAAATTATGCTGGAATATGATGGGGCAACAACCATCACCAAACTCCAGTCATAAACACAGGTTGAAAATATCCCGTGTGAACGGAATCTCACCCACAATAGTCAAAAATAGAGCGTGGAGAGACTAGTCATGTCACAAGCATTGTCGTAGCTGTATGTACGTATGCATGAAAATCATACCTATGCAAATGAAAGAACATTCAAACACATAATTCCCACGAGAAAATTCATGGACAAGTAAAAGGGTAAGAGGAGAAAGAAGAGGGCAGTTGAATCCAAAGATATACACTAATGAACTTCATAAATGTGTCAGCTCAAAGAATTATTTACACGAACAAATCCAAAGAATTCACAAGAACCAAGTTTAAAGGTTATTGCAATATCTTTCTTGAAGAAGTTCCAGCCCAGAAATAATGGGATAATAACTAAGGTATTTACTTGCAGAGTTATATGATTCTTAAACTTAAACAGACCAGTCACCTATGTGTCATTATTTTACATAGCGGAAATTAAGAGACGGAAGGTACTGTACAAGGGATGCTGGTGGTGAGGTGACACAGAAAGCCGCTGGCTTGCAAGGTACTTTTCACAACACCCCTTTATCAGATACTCCTACCTAACCTAGCCAAATGCTGTTGATGTTTAGCCGCAGCTGCCTTGTCAGCAGCTTCACGCTTCAGTGCCCTCTTGGCACGTCGCCCCATCAGATCTTTTCCAGCCTCTTTCTTCTTGGATGTATCAGAAGAGCTGGCATCTAAATCCTTATCCACCTCTTTCTGTTTGCGCTGACGGGACGAACTAGTGCCTGAGTTTTGAGAGCTTGATCTAGGGACTGGTCTTGCCTCCTGGCGACCTGCCCTTATGTAACCATTATCTCCCCACCTCCGGTTGCCAATGCGAAGGCTTGGTGAGCTATGAATATAAGCATCCTCAAGATCCTCATCATTGAGATCCTCATATTCATATTGATATTGGTATTGATAATAGAAAATATCATCCAGCTCGTCATAAAAGTCATCTCGATGCTCCACAACTAAAGGTTTAAACCATGAGGCTCTCACAAGCAAGCACACACTTTCTTCAAGCATGTAGTCATGCAAGCTGCAAGATGAAGAGCAGCACTACATAAGCAAACTGCATGATGCATCATGCATCCAGGAAAAATACGTATAACCCTGATCCTATCTCAACAGCATAGAAGTGTATAATAAGTGAAACCAACACCCTTATGCCTTAACTCTGCCTCCCAATGTGAGGAAAAAAAAATATGATAAAGTAGCTAAAATAAGATACACTATGTGTGTCAGGACAAAGTGAGTACCTTCACTGCCATATTTTTATTCTTATATAATGAGTACCTTCTAGAAGGGGGCAGGGGAAGGGGTCGGAAGAAATTTCTGGCGTGTTAAGAGTTCAATACCTTCCATCAAGCGCACGATGAACACTGAGAGATTCAAATGGATTTTTGCACTGCGGGCATTTTGGATTCTCATGATATGTTGCCCATTGCAGGATACAGTTGACACTGAAAATGCAGAAAATCACCCAAAAAAAATTCAATAACATTCCTGAATTACTCAAGTATATAAAATTAAAGCACACGATATTTTATTCTTTTCATGATCACAAGAATTAAGATGACAGTTTGCTTCAGAGGACAATGGAATCCAACACCAGTACAAACAATTCCATAAGAAGTTTTCCATGCAGTTTAATGTTAATAAATATAATGAAACTTCTAATATAACTGTGCATTCTGGCCAAAAGAAAATATGCCCTTTAACTTCTACTAAAAGCCCTACTTTAAGGTGACATAAAAATGTGTCAGAACATCTTTTGGCTGTGCTCAACAACCTTTATGACAAAGACATACTGCTCATACACTAAAATAATAGATTCAGATAAGAATAAGAACAACTGCGGGATGGCCTGGATCCCCTTAGTACTCCAAGTGCTAATAATCGTACTAAGCACTAAAATAATTACTACTAGTATTAAACAAGTGTGCATGCCCCATTTTATCCCACATCTCCCAGGTGAAGTCTACAAATATAACAAGCTTTCCTTCCATAACAGTTCAAGTATATACTTAACAAAGAAAACAGATTCCATGCTCCAATAACCAAGTGCACAAGTAACAATATCTTCCTTTTACAGCAGTCAAAGAATAGATTTTCGTAACAAATACCTAGTCTAGCTCCAGATGTTCACCAACAGTTTATAATTACATCACAATTACACAATAACACGGTATGTTGACATTATTAATTATCCAAACTCGTAAATACAAGATAAATTCTACCCCTTCTACTTAATACAAAATCAACGTTTCAACTTCCTAACAATTCAATAGCGAGAGCTGTACTTCATTGTTCATTCATACATTGTACAAAAAACAGAGCATGATTCGTGAAAGTTATAAGGACTTGTAATTCTTAGTATCAGTAAATACGATCACAACCATCTGAATAAATCCAATCAGTTACACTTGATGAGATAATCAAATATACTGGCTATATATTACACTCTTCTGTGGCTTGTTGTCGTCACAAAATCAATATTTACTTGAACAAATACAATGGCATAAATTCTCCCAAAATGCACAAGTTTTATATAAAAGATCAACATAACAACACATAGCAAATCATTCATAATCATATGAAACCAAATATCCAAAAGATCAATATAAACACACAAAAATCAATCAAATGCTATGAAAACGAAATCAAAATGTGAATGAAAAATCGTGGAAAACAATAAGAAAGGAGACAAACCAGTAAACATGCTCGCAACCTTTAACAAGGGCAGTTTCCTGAAGCTCAATGTCATCCAAACAAATGGCGCAGACACCATCATTAACCACCACAGCCACAGCAGAAACTTCACCCCCTTCACTTCCTTCTCTCTCCTCCTCCTCCTTCATTTTCCCCTGTTCCACACAATTACCCAGAAAGGGAAAAAAAAAATCAATAAATTTTGATCATATAATCCCAAATCCCCAAATCTAGATCAGCTCGGATGAAAAAAAAAAAAAAAAAAAAAACCCTAATTAATCAATAACCCAGATGCAAAAACCAATCAAATAACCTCAAATCTCCAAATTGGGATCAATTTAAGCTAGAACCCTAATCAAATCGATCGCCCATAAGCCAAAATCAATAACAACCTCACTTTCCCAAATTGGGATCAACTACAGAAAGAAAACCCTAATTAATCAATTACCAAGAAGCGAAAATCAAACAAACAACCTCAAATCTCCAAATTCAGATCAATTTTCGACAAAAATATCTAATTAATCAATGACCCAGAAATTAAAATCAAACAAAGAGCTTAACTTTGATTACCTGATCTAGGATGACAAGATGGTTGTTGAGATCGTTAGTAAAGGTTTCGTCAACAAAGGCGGTGAGTGAAGTCATAGCTTAGAAAAATGGAGGATAATAATAGAAGAGGAGAGAGAAAAAAGGGGGTAAACAAATGAAGTAGCCCCAAATTAGAAACAAATTAAAGGGAAGGAGATAGAATCAATAAGGGTATAATTCTTATACTTTTTCCAGATTCCTGCAAATAAAAAGAAAAAAGTACAGAGAAATTGGAGAAGGGAGAAGAGGAAAAAGTCCCCTCCCTTTCCTTTTTTTTTTTTTTTTGAGAGATAAAAATTGGAATTGTAGTGGTTGATATTAATTTATACCAGTCAATTTTCTGGGTTTTAATTTTTTTCACCTTTGAAAATGAATTATTTAATGATTAATTGGTCATTGCTCCAAAATAATTGGGGGTGATTTTGATTTTTTTTTTTTTTGTGGATGTGGTGCAAATTGCAGCCTGGGTTTTTGCCTTCAATGCCTTGGGGTCCAATCTGCTTCCTACAAGGGTAATCTTGAATGGTTGTCTACTTGTCATTTTAATACGGAGTGTAACTTTGATTGTAGATTCTCGTAAGTATTCACGGTGTAAGAAGTGAACATTATTGAAGTGAACATTATTATATCAGATTTTATTATAATTGTTCTTTGATAAATTGAAAATAAATATTTTAATGAGCGTCAACATTTTACATCATTCATGTTAAAAATTGGTTACATTTTGATTCAGGTGAAAAATCATTAGCTATTTTACATCACTCAACCATCAATAAATACACGCCACGAGCAAGGATGAAAGGTTGTTCAATTTGAACTAGGCTCAAGTTCAATGAAATTCAAGTACAAAATGGTTTTGAAATATAAGTCCAATTCAATTCATACATAGGTTGCTTGGACTTTGGACCCAATCCAAAGACTTAAATCAATAAAAAAAACACATTCATATTCTATGCATAATAGCCCATGAGCCTTCTTTCATACAATACAGAGTATAAGAATATAAAAATTCACACTAATAAACCCTCTTATGTACACGTATGTCAACGCAAAAACTACGTTATCAATAAAACTCGCCCATGAATATGACCAGAACTCAACCCTCATGATTTTTTTGGTCTAGAAATTTTGAAAGTAGGGGAGTAGGTAAGGGTATTTCTACCTCCAAATACAGAGTATTTCATATTAACATTAAGGCAGTCTAATCCCTTGGCTAAAATTGTGTTGGGGTTTATTCAAAAAAAAAAAAAAATTGTGTTGGGCTAAGAACTACATTAAAAGATGAACTCGAATAAACAAGCCCATTGTTTGATTGAGGCACATGTACACAAAAAAGTTTAGGCAAAGTCCAGTGTAAAACAGAACAACCTAAGAACTCACCCAAAAACCTCTTCTTTCTCTTTCCTCCTCTTCTTCTGTTAAAAAAAAAAAAATGGGCGTCGAAGAAACTCCGGCGACTGAGATTTCACCGGAGATGATGGAGCAAGTTGAAGCCTTACTTGAGGTAATTATTTACTTTGATTATAAACTATCTATTATTATTTCTTTATTATTTGCTTAAATTCCCTTAATTAAGCAATTAATCATCCCCTGTTTTCAATGCTATTCATTATCATACTATGATTATTTGATTCATGTTGAAAACATATGAATTTGAAACGCATTTTGGAATTTTATTGTACCCTTTATAAGTTTATTTTATACTTTGTATAAATGAAGAATCTTGTTAATTAATTTTTGTTTTCTAGGTTATATGAGTGACATTAATATTTGTGTTGATGCTGATGTTTGATGAGTTTATTTGCAGGAGAGCTTATAGATGGATTAGTATGTTGCCTACTTTATTAATTTTTGGCTACCCATTATTAGCAACACTATCAAAATTGAATAAATTAAAGGATGTTAAAATACATACAAGTAGCTGAATACTTGAATTAGGCATCAAATAGCACAAAATTTTGACATGGTACTTATTAATAGTTGTATAAATGACATAGGGAGAGTATAGATGTTAGTATGGCTTAGTGCTAGCTAGAAGTCTGGAACATCTATAGCAGTTTCTGGTTCATGGAACTAATTAGGGAACATAAGTTGTTAGCATCATTTGTTAAGTTAGTCCACTAGTGCACCTGTGTTCGGGTTCAGTCGTTCTAGGAGCGTGGTGTCGTGGTTCTTTGGACTTTGGGTGGGTGTTCACTGATTTGATTCATGTACCTACTTAATCTATTATTAAACTGGGCACATTTTTAGGGGAGGGGAGGAGGCATTAGGATTTTAATCCGCTTTTTTGTACATGTTCTTGGCCAAAATCCGCAACGTCATCTCAAAGATTATCATTAGCTAGATGGAATTTTCTTATTCCCACTACAGAAATTGGTGGGTTGCATTACGTGACAATCTTTATTTCCCCTGGTTAGGCTGCTAGATATGATGATCTGGATGACCTGAAAGAGTTAGAATCTACTGGAGTCTCTCTTAATGCCAAGGATTCTCAAGGCCGAACAGGTTTGATTGCCTTTATCTCAGTTGTCCTGCCTTTTCTACTGGTATTATTGAATCGTTGTGATTTGTGATGATATCATACATCAATCTATTCATGTTTGGACTGGAGTTATTTACAGTTCAATTTATTTCTGTATTGCTACTTTGTTGCAACAAGCCAATGTTGGGAATTGGCCCCCTACACTTGCAGACTTACTTAGCAAAGAGCTGATTTCTTGTTCATATAGTACTGCTTGGTTGTTCTGTTTCGTTTGATCTTGCATTTCTGTTAACCATGTAGTCACACGATGAAGCTGTATATTTGAACTGCTTAGAATGTGGCTGCTGTTCATATTGTGGATATGGTGCCTGAAAACTGCCATTTATTTGTGATAGGTTGATGAAGACCTTGTTGTTGTCTTTTAGATTCTCAAGCCCATTTACAATATTATTCCATACCTAGTTTGGAAGAAAAGGGAGGGCTATTACTGAAGGTGAAATTTTTGGCCGACTGTGTTTTCCATTTTCTTGTTTTCAGTAATGTGACTAAATGTGTCTGTTCTGCCATTTACAGGCAAAGACATATACGTTACTCTGTAAATAATGTTCTCGAAGTGGGCCTCATGCCCAGATTATGTTGATTTGTTAGTGAGGACCAAATCATGAACTTACCATCCCATTGCTTTCAAAATCGTTTATTGTTACTAACAGGACTGTAAAATTATCTTATTTGTTGATTTAAAGCCCTTTGTACCCTTAGTGTACCTGCTAATATTTCCTTATGCTCTTTTAGATATCATCTATGATTATTCAACCCTTGCAATATTGCATCTGTTTTTTTTTTTTTGGCCCATGTTATGCTGAACAAGATATTATGTTCTAGATCCTAATCAATTTTGTTTCTTCGTTTTGTCATATGCATTTTGGCAAATAAACATGTGTGTGGCCAGCTTCAAACTTGAGAAAAAGCGTCATTGTGATTAGTGACTTAACATTGTCAATTAAGTGATTAGTAGTGGATACTGGACTCTATGTACTGCCAAAGCTCTTGTCATACTAAGATTGATGCCTGCATCACTTTTATATTTGCATTCCAGTCTTTCGTTTCATCTTCCTTATTATTCAATGCAGCTCTTCATATGGCAGCGGCCAATGGTCACCATGGCATTGTTGAATACCTTATAAGTAAAGGTGTGGTAAGTAGATTATCTCCGTCCATAATTTACATGATTCGTAGTAGTGATTAGTAAGGGTGCTTGATCATTCAATAGAATTGGGATTTAATAACACCTAAACACTAGCCAATGTGCTATGTGTTCTATTAGAGAATATACAAAATGCTGCGGCTTCATCTTCCTAATTACTCCAACTTCTCACTGAACGTTGTGAGGGCTACACATTAAGATACTAGAGATGGTGCATAGACAAAGTGATGATCCATCATAGTTAAATGGTGATAAAGTATATTCAATTCAGGCATACTCAATAATGGTTTATTGAAAAATCAATCATGCATATTCAATCATAGTTTAGTGATGAATTCTGGTAGATTCTAGCACCCACATTTGTCAGTTAAGTGATAAAGTAGCTTGTTTTGTTGAGAGGTGTTTTGGGATGGAGGTGACCTTTTAGGAAGTCTCCCTGGGCACACAAGTGAGAATATAGTTTGTTAGAACGACATCTTAGTCTGTGGTGCTCGTTGTTAATCCTCAAAGCTGCCTTTTTGTATCTATTGATGGTCTGGGAGGTGGTCAGGGTGTTACGGTTCTTGTGCAATTCTATAGTATATATGTTGTATGTATTGTTCCAGAAACATCTATTTATCAGAATCATTCTTCCATGTAACACAGGATCTAAATTCTTTGAATGAAGAAAAGAATACACCTCTTCATTGGGCTTGTCTGAATGACCGCATTGAGGTACTAATTAATTACGGAGTTTATTCACTGTATTATGTGTCATATTCATGAAGCATTCACTGCTGATTAACTGCTCTGATTTAGGTGGTTAAAACTTTGATTTTGGCTGGAGCAAATGTCGCGATCCTTAACAGGTATGACTATCTTATTCTGTTTATTGGTCCGATTTGAAATGTTCGAGCGTTACGTTGTAGACATTGTATCCTTGTGCTAGAAAGTTGGGAAGCATACCATACTTTGGGTGCAAATGAAAACTCAGTTAAAATTTCTTTAGTCTAGTGAAACAGAGTAATGAGTTTAATTTATGTTTTAAATGTTTAGCCATGAGCGCACACCAATAGACGAAGCTTTAAGTAAGGGGAAGATGGACGTGCTCGATGCCATCAATTCAGCTGTGGCTCAACTGGAGCTCAGTGGAGCAAGCGTCTCATAAAAAGAAACATTTTTAGTCACCAAAGTTCCATATAGAGCTTAGACCTCTATTAGGGTTTCGAGGGGAAGTTATTTGGGAGCATTGTATCTACACAAAAAGCCATATTCTCACTCTTGTTTGAGCATCAATCATTTTATATGATTTCTACCCTAGTGTTTTATTTGGCCCTTTAGCAACTACTGTGAAATTGTCTTTATTTAATCCTTGGCTATATGTGTTTTGGCCTTTAGGGATCAAATACACATTGTGAAAACTGATAATCAGAGGAATGGCATATAATGGCGGTATCGCCAAGTTTCTAGTAAGACAGTCTAAAGTTGTTGGTTGTTAGTTAAATTTTCTTTACTGTTAAAGCTCATGACAGGTTTTTGTCTGTTGGCTTCCTAGGTCTAGTTACTATATACTAGTATATGCAAACTAAATAGAGCCCATTTTCTAACAAGACAATCTAAAGAAACTCTGTAAACATATTTGATGGCATGATATTGGTGGTATGTTATCTCACAACTGAAATTCGGGTAGTGAATAAGGAGTGAATGATCTTAACATCTTATAATAAGCCGCGAGCTTAATTTAATTTAACATTAGTCAAATTGGATTAGATAAATAGTGCAAAAAGTAATAGCGTGTCTTTGAAAAAAATACGGGGGGTGTATATTTATAATTATGCATATTTTTAAATTTGCATAATGGAAAAAGTTGAGTATGTGGTTGCTGTGGAAAAGATGAGGATTACATGAGATTATTGTATATGAATATTATCCTTTCTTGTAGTTTTATTGACCTATCAATTAACCTTTTATCCTCATAAAATCTTCGACTTGTCTTGTGTGTGGTTGGCTACACTATGTGGCCGGTTGTGAAAAAACAAAGTAACCCATATAACACTGATCGAGTAACCCTTGTAATACATTCTAGCGAAATAACCCTCATTATAGCTGGCCACCACATATAAGAATTTGTGTAAAATATTTATCAATAAACATTTGTCTTGATTTTTTTTTTTTTTTTTTTTTTGAATGATTGAATGAATGAAAGAAATGATGATTATAAAATTTTATTAATGTCCTCTCATAATATCCCTAATACATAATACCCCAATTATCTTTTGATGAAATATTTATTATGGAAGATGAAATAACTACCAAGTATCGATAGAGCTACCTCTCAACCTCACTTGTCAAACTATGTTTCACAAAGAAGGAATTATTGAGGTACGCTAAATGTACGTACGTGTATCCATGTCCACTTAATAAAAAGCGAAAACAACATTCTTTTTTAGAATGATTTTATTTCAACTTCTCCACTATTATTGATCTTTATCCTTTGTATAATCATCATTCATCTCCACTACTAAGAGAAATTAAAGGTAGAAAAACTATGCCTCAAAGTCATCCCTTTTCACCAACAATAGTAACAGTAATTAACACAAAAGCAAGCAAACACAAATTAGGAAGATGCTAAGTTTCTATTTCCTTATATATTTAACCACATTCTCTAGCACTTAGAGTTAGACTAATAATTAAGCAACTTTCTATTTTAGGAATGTAAAACAAAACACCTTCTTTTAGACTCTAGAAGGTATACATTTATGTAGCCTCTTGGGTTTCAAAGGGACAAGCAATTTCATATGCTTTATTAACTTTTTATAAAGTTTGAATTTTGTTTTATTAACTATATAGTATATAGTATAATGTCAATATTATTCCCTTTTACATTAGCTTTTTTATGCTATTATGCCGTGTACGTTATAATCTTTTACTATTAACAACATAATATATAGTCTTTGAACCGCCGAATGTCTTTGACAATATATAAAGATGTTTGTATTAGAAAAATTAATTAAATTGGGAGAACATGGAGGAATCAATTAGGGGAAAGGGTGGAATAAAGAGGGAGATCAAAAAAAGGGAAGGAGATTTCTTTGAGAATTATTTATCTAATGCATAGAAAAGAAAATTGCAATTAGAAAAAAGGGAAAGAAGAGAGATATATTGGTAGATGAGGGGGGGAATGTCGAGTCAAATGATTCATCTGTTAAAAAAAATTATAGTGTTATATTATAAATAAATCAACAAATATATAATAAAAGTTAAAGTGTTAATCCTGGTTGGAGAAAAAAAAAATTCAAATGAAAAATATGGTGTAGAATGATACGGAGTGTGGGAATAATACATTATTCTAATAATATATCCTTATATACGTAGTATATGCTATTTATTACAGAAAATACCTATTATAAAATATATGAAAGATATGTTAAAATATTTTCGTTGAATACAGTTGCCAAATTGAAAGTTAGATATTATAGGATATATCAATTGATTTGAAGAAGAAAAAATAAAAAAATAAAAAAATAAAAAAGTGAAAGTGGCAATAAATTTTTTAATCAGAAAATGACAAATGACAAGTGTCATGTCAGATTCGCTTTTAAAATTATGTTATTATTACTACTTGTTCGTTACACTCCTTGCAAAATGGGCTTAACTAGATCTTCTTGATCATCATGATCAAATTCATAATCAAGCAGAAAACGATAACACAACATTAGTCAATTACTCAATTTCATACACTAATAACGTCACTAAGTTGAGGTTAATTTCAAACCCTTCATAATAAACATAATTAGATTATAAAAAGTAATGCAAAGCAAGAATAATTCTCGTACCGAAGCACATGGTGTTCTCAAAATGGGTAACAATAGAGTGTATAAAATAAGAAGCTTTAATTTACTACTTGGAGTATAAGCCGCTTACCAACTTGACTTATCTTTCGGCTTCACATGCTTACCACCTACGTAATCCTAATCATATGAACCTAATTTTATAACCATTTTAGGAAAAAAAAAAAAATTATTTATATGTTATTGTTAATACTTTCAATTAGGGTTAGCTGATTAATTATAGTAAATTTAATTTGCATTTTCGTTTTGGAAGTAAAATGAGCTTAGTAGAGCTAGGATAGATAAAGTAGTAAATAATACGAGGTTGTGACGCGGTATAACATAACCTTACACGAAACTACCGATCTCAAAATGGCTTCGATAACCGAAAGTGATTATCTTGTGAAATAGCTGAACTAGTTTTTTATTTTAAATGACATTGATTAATAAACTATAGTATAGTTTAAAGACCATGAAATTTGAATATTACAAGGTCATTAGTTCAAGGTCAAGATAAAGGTCAACCGTTGGATATGATTATTATTTGTCTCTGATCCCATTACCTAAATATACAAAACATAGAAAATTACATTCCTAGGAATCTTTCATTATTTTATGTATACACATATACATAAGTTAAGACTTGAGAGCATAAGTCAACCAATTTCCACAATTGGTGACCAACAAAATTAAAATCAGCAATATTTTCAGGACATATACTGTCACTTTTACAGCAGTAATGTTAATTTCAAGGTATTCCTTAAAAATGATTCTAGAAAACTAGAAATTTAAATTATTCTATTTCTAATGAAATGAAAGTTTATCCAAGGAATTATATAAACAAAAAAATCCATGAACATATAAATTTTTTGAGATTCTTCATTTGCAAGGATAATCACCACTCTATAACTACGAAAAGGGTCTAAATAATGTTCAGATACACACAATCTTATCCCTGATTGGTAAAGCGTAAAAAAAACCCAATACTCAGTCGAACCTAGTAGAATGAAACAAAAACCCTAATAGTAGGGTGGCAAATGAATGAATATATAAAAGTGAGTGATTCCAGCTTCAAAATTGGGAGTGGCAAGAATATATACAAGGACCAATCATTTTCCCACTACAAGCTAGCTCCACTTTTCCTTTCGGCCCCCCTTTCTGCCTACTTTCCGTTTTTTTCCTCTAAACAAGAATCAACATCTTAAGCTTCAAAATATTGTTAATAATACTAAGGTATAATTTCAATTATATGCCTATAAGATTCTTTGAGATTTGATTTTTAACCCTAAAGTTCAAACAAAAGTCATAGATGATTGGAAGAAATTCCTTATATAATTGGAATCTTGATTTACATACAAAATGACCCCACTTTCGTACGGATCCATCAAAGCATAAACTTATGAAACATGCAAAAAATAAACAAAAACCCCCTTAGCTTAAACATAGAGATTTTGCTTAGATTAGAGGCAGCATGCATGATATCATTACATTAAACGGACCTCGCCCGTGAAACTATGGAAGAAGTTGCGACTTAAAAGTTCACATATATGCAACCTTAATTCTACCTAAGCTTAATAGCTTATTACTATCAAATATTTGTCTTTCTGGTCAGACACAGACCTTAGAAATGCAGCAAAGAATAAAAACAGGTACTCACTAGTAAAAAAAAAAGAAGTGCTGGAAAGAGTGTTTGATGTAGTGTACTACTGCTACTCTTTCTGGGCAAACAAGGACAAGAGCTTTATCATACAAACAAAACCTAAAAATTTCGCAACTTTAAACTTAGTAAAATATAAGAACTTCAACTAAAAATCCTGCATCACCTGTATAATCCCTCCGTTTAGAAATAATTGCAAATATTTTTTTGTCGCTTAATAATGGACATGACATGAATTAAACTATATAACATTGTTTATATTGACTAAATGTCATTTATTAGTCTCGCAACAAAATACATAATTGGATTGATCAACTGATCAAGGGGCATGACATGTTCCCTAATCCAAATTGAAGAGAAGACACCAAAGGCAATCAACCAAATTAAACTTGATAAATCTAACACAAAATAACATGTTTAAGCAATGCACATGCAAATGTTCATGCCTTCAACTAGATTTAGCCGATCTTCAAAACATAGACGACTAATCATCTATCACTAAAGTTTGAAGGAAAAAACCTCAACAACTTGAGATGTCGGATGATTAACTCTAACGAGCAGAATCTAGTTTTTACAGCATTCTCGGCTTCCTTAAGATATTAAGATCAGATACGTTAGCTGATAACAAGAGTTCAAGGCTGAACAAACAGCAATCAAAAAAGGCAACAGGATTTCACTGATTAAAACTAGTCTTTGCCGAATATCAGCACATACTTTCAATTTTGATCAATTCAGAAACATGTTATAACATTGTGAAACGTTTATATATCGAGCCACATTAACACGATGCATCAAGTTCATACAAAAAAAGAAGTAATGACATATGATACCTCTTTACTGCAGCTGTTGCAAGAAAAAGATGCAAATTAAATTTAACTAATGTAAATGAATTTAGACTAGCTAGAGAATGCTTAAAATCTAAAACAGAAAGAGATGCCAAAACAAGTCATAAACATTTAGAACATTTCTTCGGCATAAATTCTAGCTCTCCATTACAAAAAAGACTCAGAAACCTTAGAATATCAGTAACATTTTGTTATTCAGTTGATTCTCAACAATGTTACTACCACACTTTAAGACAACTAGTTACGCTACATCCACCATTTTGTAGAGAGTAATACTTCCTAAGAAACTACACAACTTCTGGCCTTTCAAATTCTAGGAAATTAAAGGGGTGGTTAGGTTATGGGATGAAAGATGTACATTCATGAAACAAAAACTCGGATTCATCTAACGACATTGAATTGAATCACTCCAAGATAGGTAAAGACTAGAGAGAATAAAGTCCAAAAAGTTAGTTATGAAAATGCAGACATCCCAAGAGGAGTACCAAATAAGGGTAAGAACAAAACAAATCATTGAAGACAAACCCATATGAAAATCCCCGTATTATACCCTATAAGTCAGCAATTGTGGGCATAAAAAACATATAATAGCCAAACAAGAGACAGCTTAATGCATGCATAATCACAACTCTTATAATTAAAGAACAAACTAAGGATTAAACAATAACATGTGGAAATAAGTATGTATATATATTAAACATAGAATCACATCAAGTGGGCACCATACTAATTTAGATTAACAAAAACTCGAAATCCCAAGCGCGGCGAATGAGATTAACACAACACTTATCCTAGGCTGATCTGATCTCATTGATCTTACATTATGAGAAGCACATGTAAATTAGCTAGATGCATCCAAATCAGACAATGTTATGATTTATGAACAGACTATGCACAGTTTTCACAACAGTAACAAATTTATGCAAACCAGCAAAGATATATATAATCATTAGGGGTAGAGGATTAGGAGATTAAAAACTCGGAAAATATGGTAGAAAAAGAAAAGCAGTAATTTTCTCAAGTGATCAAAAAAAGGTAAAGAAGCAAGTACATCAAGGCATTGATGAATGCATGCAGTAGCTAAATTGTCCATACTATTTGAAAAAGAAATGTTAACATAATAATTAAGTAACAGAAAAGCAAAGGTGTTCTTGACAAGGACTCGCCTCAATCTATAGAATGTATGTTATGTACAATGGACGATTATTAACTTGATCGACTTGTGGTTTTCTTGACCAAACAAAAGATTAATTAGTATAGGGTCAAAAAAAAAAAAAAAAACTCCTTAAGATTGAACGATTTTGCACATCGGCAAGATGGGGGGTTACCATTACTCGTAGTGGAATGCTCCCTTAAAAACAATTTTTCTTCTATGGCAATAAATGATGGCGACTTTGCAACTACTACCCCAAATCTTTAAAGTCCACAGCAGGCCAAACTAATAATGGTGAAAGAGGTACATTCACATATCTAGTTCATCTGGGACTAAACTAACCAAACTGAACAAATAGGAAGTTAGGGAAAAAGTTTGGTAGAGCAGTAGTAGTCTCAGTACATAAAAACAACATTGAACAACATACAGAATTAATCATAAAGATATTATGATGTTTTTATTTTAGTCATAAAATATACTATATGATAAAATTTAATATAAGGTTCACAAAATATAACAGGAAAAAAAATACAGTATATAAAAGCATAATATAAAGAATAATAATTTCTATCCATCAGAAAATAATGCAATTGCACAGGAGTCAAAATAGTGTTATCATAAGCAAGACAAAATGTAACACACAATAAAAGGTAAGTAATGTTTCATACCATATACTATACTGTCTCCTGTGAAATGTGCAGTATTTTATTTTGGTCTGCCTGCAAAGAAAATCATTCATACCTTGCTATCTAATATTACAATGGCAGAAGTTACAGAAGCAATAAACAATTAATTTAATATGATTATATATCAAACAGTTTCCTTGCATGCCAAGTTTCTAAACTTCGATGTACATGAAGCAGAAATTAAAAAGACGCTAAACCAAGACTATTTCTTTGCGGATTAGAAAAGCTCAATCAAGATTGAAGAAAAATGAAGAGATAAAATATACTAATTAATAAGTAATTCCCCAATTGAAAACCCTATTCATTAATCAGAATAATTAGACCAATAAATAAAATAGGAAAATCAAGCTAATTATTGGGATACAAGAAGGCCGGATTAACTACTAACTACTAAGAAATATAGTAGTAATTAATCACAACATTGCTTTAAAATTTTGAATCTTTTGTAATTTCAACAACATTACAAAAGATTCAAAAGAAAATTTCATCAAATACTAAAGAGTATATATAATTTTTTTTCTTCCTATTTTGGGAAGGGTTGGGTTTTATTTTAATTTTGTTCTCAATTCATAGTGTTACCATAGCTTGAACCTCCGAGCAATCCAGCACCACCAGAAGCACCATAGACATCAGATGGATCGAGAAGCGGCGACGACGAAGAAGCCCCACCATTTCTACCAGCACTACTACTAGCAGCACCACCCAAATGTAACTCAGATAGATTAGGAAAACCATCTCTTGGTTCAACCCCTTGATCATATAGGAAGCCCTTAAAAACATGTCCACCAATTTTGACCACTGCTTGGTAAGCAAACTCATCCTCCCCGTCATCGACTGCAGTCACCCTTACGCACTTGAAAACTGCTGGGGCCTTCACTTGCCCCGGCAACGAGTCCTTGAAGCTCGCATCTACCTCACCACAACAAACAAATAAATGAATATCATATATAATTGAACCTACACTCGTACAAAACATAATTGATATGGAGTAGATAGATAGTTAGTTACCTTGGTGGCTGGAGCTAGTCTCGAAGCTACGAGGCGGGGTGTTGGAGGTGGAAGTGTGGGAGGTTGTAGCGGTATTTTGAGAGGATATAAGGCGAGGCTTTTTCGCCCCGGAGGTGGAGCCAGAAGACGCCCCTCCTCCACCTCCCACACTTCCACCACCGGTTCCGTGGGTCCCTGCTGCTCCAGGAACTCCCATCATCTGCCGCTCTCTTCGCCTAGCAGCAGGGACCCACGTGCTCTTCACGTGAGTAGAGCAATCAAAACCCCTACTCCTACAACAAGTCCTACACCTCCGATGGATGCAGTCTTTCTTAGCTTGGTTTCCGCAATCCTGACAAGTAAGGGCCCCACTTCCGCCACCGCAGCCCATTGCGGAAGAAGACGAGTGGAGTAAATTCGGGCCAGTCGGGTCGAAATTAATACTCTTCTTCGGGTAATTCGGGCTTCCTCCTCCCATTTGTTGCTGTGCTTGCCAGAGTTGGATTGCACCCGCTCTATGATTACGACTCATGAAAGAATCATTTCCATCCAAAGCATTATTATTACTACCACCCGTCTCTCCAGTGCCGGCCACGTTGAGACACGGGCCGGCGTTGAAGAGGGGAATAACGCCGACTCCCACCCCAACTCCCAAAGCGGTAGCGGCGTTATTCCCGCCATTCATCTCACCCCCATGATGATGACTGTGGTGGTGGTGGTGATCCAGCATCAAACTGGACTCGTGCTGCTGGAACGATGTCGCGGGGGCGACAACGAACATCCCCATCTCCGGAGAGATTCCGTACCTGGACGAAGCAGGCCATAAAGTGCCAGCAGCAGCAGCCGCAGACGCGGATGCTGCTGCTGGCCCAGCATTGAATCCAAGAGAAAGATCGTTACTCTTATCAGCTGCGTTGCTTGCTGATGACGCCACCCAATCCGCAAACGCTCCTGAATCCGACGCTAACCTCCTTGTAGTAGCCACCACCGCTAATCTATCTTCAACACTTTCTTCTTATATTTCTAATTTCTTTATACTTTGATGAATTCAAAACTAATTAAGAAATGGGGTAAATTTATTATGAATCAAAATAATAAATTGACTGCCAAAAAGAAAAAAAAAATAAAATAAAAATGGAGGTTGTTATTTGTTGTAGTAATCTTGAATGTTCTTCTTCTACAAAAACTGCAGAAGAGACAGAGAGAAAAAAATGTGGCAGTTTTTAAAGCAGTAAGACAGTAGAGAGCAGAAGAAGATCAGTGTGAAAATAAACAGGAACAAAGGGTAATAACCATTTTTTTTTAATCTTTTAAAAAAAAAAAAAAAAAAAAAATCTGGTGGGAGTAGTAGAATTTTACTCTTGTTCTTCTGATTTCTGAACTTTCTCTCTCTTACAATATCTCATTATATTTGCTTCTAAATTCTATCAACAACTTTTATTTTTAGAAATAAATAATTAAAAAAAAAAAAAAAAGAGTGAAGGGGTGAAAATACTGTTGTTGGTAATACTAGAAAGTGAAACGCCAATAATCAGAATTTATGGTAAATGGAAAAAGTGACAAAGTGTATTGTGTGTTTTTTTAGAGAGAGAAAGAGGGGTTTTTTATTTAATTTTGTTTTGGTTAGAGAGAGAAAGGGTATTTGTTGGTTAGCATTTGTAAGTTAGCTGGGTTCAAAAAGTCACATGACACCCTCTCTCTATATTTATCTATCTATATAAAAAAAAAAATTAAAAAAAATTCTCTCTCTAGATCTCTTTCACTCACTACTTGTACAAACTTCACTTTCTCTCTCTAGAATTTAGTTCTTCCCCTCCATCCATTGGTGGGTCCCCTTTTTGTGGGAGATTCATTTGGGCATGTGGTTTTCTTTTTATCCCCCTCAACTTGTGCAAACCATTTACAACAAGTTTAATTTTTAACTTAATCAATTAATGGATTATTTGAGTTAAATTAGGTTTTGTTTAGTTCAACTTATTTTGTTTAAATTTCTCTAAACCTCATTTATTTAAACTTATCATGTCTGAATTTATAATAGGTTGAGACAAACAGATTCTTAATTATTCTAAAAACTTATCATGCCTTAGTCCACTTGCATAAGGATGTAATTGGATTAATCTACTTTAGATCAAACTAAAAACTTGGTGGATAAAAATGATGTGAATAAATTTTCGATGGCACCATAGTGGTACCGCCTATAATTCGAGAAAAGAGAGCCAAAAAGCTAGGTGTGAAGTAGTATGAAAGGAGATAGTAGGGGTCACCCAATACAAAAACACAAAGGTAACCAAAAAGTCCATTGAATTCATATTGATGTTCAAGTCTTTAAAGTCATTCTAAAAGAGAAGTTAAGCGTGTTAATTCAAAGTAGTCCCCTTTGTTATTCCTAAGCACGTTTTTGAAGTGACTTTATATAATTTCTCTCTTTTATTACCTTATTAATATCCCCCACCAATCTGATCTTTTGTAGTCATGTTCTGGAAAATTCAGCTAGCAAATGAGAATAATATCATTCTGTTTGTAATTTGTTGTTTTTGTGACATTCTCATCACATTGCATAGTTACATATACTGCCTATCATGCTCAATATGTCCAATCATCACATATACTGCCTATCAATGCTCAATATGTCCAATCATCATGCATTGTTTAAGCTCACATCCAATCCTATAATTCTACTGATACACTAACCTAATGAATAGGAGTTCTAATTATTTGATAGTTTGAAAAAAAGTTTTATGGCCGTATTCACAGTTGTTAAGTAAGTATCTCAGTTTTTACAGTTTTTATGTATGGTAGTGTTACGATCACATATTCGAATTATAACATCGTGAATATTGGGAACAGATCAAAATTCGGTGTACCCGAACGTTCTAAGCTTAGAAGATCTTGTAATGTTAAGCTTAATGCACCAAAAGATCAGATCATATGTAACAAAAACACATCACAAGTCAAGGACAAATAGCTAGGTAGATAAACCTATACATCAATTACAAAACATTAATCAAGGGTCTATAATTAATTAGATAGGACCTATAAACATACAATAGCCCTAGAATTTACACCAAAGTGACAAAATTTAGAAAAATTGATTGGAAATAATATTCCTCAATTAGCCACTAGCTCCAAAGATGTTGCACACCATAAGTGTACCAATAAGTGAACTTGAATTTCAAGTCCACCAACCATCAACCCTAGCTATTTACAAGGCAATATCAATCCACAAATTACCTTTTTTTTGTCAATTACTAGCAATAATATTCTAACTTCCGCAGTGATTTTATTAGCATGGCTTTCCTCACCAAGTAAATATAAATTATATTTATACTCAACTGCCTCACATCATATCAATTTAAATTTTACAAATCAAGGGCGACTTTTTATACTGTACTAAATTACCACTACACTTATTTAGAGGTGATAAAAAATTCAGGTCGGATCAGACCTTAACAATTTTTAATACCTCATGTATGGCGTATTATTACTACTTAGACAATTCCCCATTTTGTTGTTTCTTTTATTCGCTTTGTAATTGTAATTCTTTTTTACCCTCTTACAATTTTGAACTTGGATTTGGTATTATTAATTCGCTGACCTAGAGTTACGAAATGTGTAATCCTCAGTTAATTTAGGTGAACTCAAGCAATTATAATTTGTTGAATACGACCTAGGTAGTATAAGCTTCATTCTGGCTGAGAGCTAGGCACTAGACCGACAAATGTACCAAATTTTTACCATCATTGACTGTAGTTTCTGTGAATATAAGATATAATTTCTCCATCATTATACCATCAAGGTAATCATTTTTTATCCAAGTATGTATGACTTCCATCATTATCAAAAATTTTGCTCATGCCTAAAGTTTGTTCTCTTCAACTGTACAAAATACAAGTTGCATCAAGCCATCAAGTAACGCGCGCCCTTTTATTTCAAGGTGCGCGCATATGATATGAGCGAGTTCTCCCTTTGTTCCATTTTTTTAAAGCAACCCATTTTTACCCGTTTAAGAATTTTGATGAAGTAAAGTATTATTATCTTAGTTCAAATTTATTTTGGTATAAATAAACATAAAAGAGAGTGTAAACATTAAAATGAGATAGATGAAATAATGCTGGGTACATCCTTGTTACTACGGTGTTTATTTTGCATATTATGTGGAAATGGAACCATAAAGACAGGAAATGAAGCCGAAATTTGATCTCGGATCACTAGTTCCATCTCGAAACCCTGTTGTTAATACTCGTCGTTGTAATAATTGTAACAGTTACATAAATAGGAGGGATTTGTTTTCCCTTTCTGTCCCCTCTTGCACATTTGTTGTTGTTACCAGTTGATCCTTAAGAGAGAATTGAAGGTTTGTCCAATAAATGCTTGGCAGCAGGATTTTCTTGTGGATGGAAGGGGTAGAAGCATTATGGCTCAGAGTAACCACCAGTCCACCACCCTTGTTATAGCAAACCTAGGGTATCTTAGGTTACCATTTTTGAACATGTAAATTATACCCCCAAACACTTGCTCTAAATGTGACTTATCATATGGTCTGTTGGTCACTACTTTAATTTAATATCATTTGATGTGAAAATTCAGCCTCTTTGTACCAATGTTATTATGTCTATTAATGATCGATAATCTCAATCTTATTAATGCATAATTCACTTTCCATTTATTGTACTCACAGCGCTCTTAGGCCTTGTTCTTTTGAGCTTCTGAGTAGAGATTATTGTAACAATTACTGTGACTCGCTTAAAATTGGAAAAAAAAAATGACTTTATAATGATTATCGAAACGAAAGATATGGAAGGATGATGATGATGATGATCCACACTCAATGAATCTTATCCGAATTTCTTTAGGTTTATCATTATCATTTCCAAACCATACATACTCCAGCCAACATGTAAGATCATGAGAGAATTGAATTGGGATTTTGTTCTTTATATTTGTCATCAAAAAGAAAGTAAAGTAAATAGTAAATGTATGTGTGATTGTGAAGCTGGATCCCCGTTTGGAGGGAAAGGAAAAAAAGAACACAGCATCTGACACAATTGACTCAAAGAGAAAAATAATGAGGAGCAAACCCACCTTTAATTTGTAATCAAACAATCAAAGCCTAAGGGGGAGTCACATCAAATGTTAAGTCAACTTGTGAAACCCCAAAAACCAAAAATATCTAAATTAATAAACATCACCTTGCAATATTGAAGATGGCATTGAGTCGTCATGGCATATTGAATACGCAAAATGTCACGTTAAGGCATGAGCACAAAATAGGCACAGTAACAACTGCGTGCAAGGCCTAAGTCACTTTTTTTTTTTGGAGAAACATGACACGACACAATCTAGCATGACAAAACATGTACTTTAATTTAAGCAAATTTCGATTTAAGCATGTAATATTGACACAACACGTAGTGAGTGGCACAACCATAGATAAGGCTTAACAAGTCCTAGAATACACAAGTTTGACTCAACCCATAACTATATATCTTTACATACCTTGCATGATCGTAATTATTACTGCCTAATATAATCCGATAGTTAACTAAGCTACACTTTTGTAATGCCTAGTCAATGCAATAACCTTAACTTTTACGGTGATTTCATCGTCATATTAGATATTTGTAACATGTTAGTCATTTAGCCTTATCCGTAATTCCGTAAACCATAAAAGGTGACTTTGATTCTACACCACAAACATTTGTTCATCACCATTCAATACTGTGTTCCCGTTGACCATCACACAGTAGAAGACTAGTAGTAGTACTATCTCCTAGCAACTCCCAATTACCAAAGAGATCAGATAAAAAGTAAGCTAAGATTCAGAAATTGTTTTCCCTTCATTTTTTTTCTTTTATATTTCTATAAAAATTTCATAATTAAGAGAGATTCTCAAATTCTGAGTCCTTTAGCTTTCAGCTTTAACATCTTTCAGCTTGCTTCATATCATCTCCTTCCCTTGAGATCTGCGTTTTTATTGCTTTTGTTTTCAGTTCTTTCTACCATCACCTAGCTTATAGCTTATAGCTTATAGCTTATAGTACTATACTACTATAGTAGTAGTTGTAAGAAATACGGAGTAGCTTATTCAGAATTCAGCTTTGGGTTTAGTGCAGTTTCTTACATGCTACTACTAAGAGTAACATTGTAGGATAACATAGAGTAGTACATTTTTAGCATAAAAGCTGGTCCATTTATGAAATTGTTTCCTAAATAGTTACGCAACTAATGTGGACAAAAACTCTATCGCATTCTTACTTAATTACTGAGTACACTCTCTTACGTCACTTTTTGATCTATTGTACATTCATAACTATAAACCGACTCTAGTTTGTTTCATTAAAGACGCGCACATAAGTAAGTTTGCGTACGAGTAGTTTTTTAGGTCCCGTTCCTTTAGGTTTATTTTGACTACGTTGAATTGAGTTGAACTAAATTGAACTGAAATGTATGTAGTGTAAAACTAAACTGAACTAAACTAAAATAAGTTAAATTGAACTGAACTTTATTGATCTAAAAATAAGTCCAAAAGAACATGGCCTTAATCGCTTAACTTTTGTACATAGACGACATTTTCCAGACTGACTCAGATTAAAAGGTACATTTTATTTATGTTCATTTATTTCAACCATCAAACATCGCTTGACGTAGGAACGACACAATATAATTAACATACCGTGTCAACAAACTTCTTAAAAATTACAAAGTATCTTACAATCTCGGTGTCCATGCTCCTCCTGTGTAAGATATTTGAATGCCTTGAATTAGGGTTTAGGTACAAATGATCACTTTTCATTCACACCAAGATAGCCAATTATAGTAACAAATGAAGTTTAAGGGATATCATTCATATCAATGATCTTTCAAAATTACGAAATACATTGTATAATTC